TTTCTGCACAAACTGTTTCACTTTTAACCAAGTGCATTTCACACCCTGGTCAGATCTCTTAAAAGCGATGGATGGGTCATCCTAAATCCATCATCATTAAGAAAGAGACAGGACAACATGAATATTTCATAGCTGGTGATGGAGCCAAGGGCGGAATGATCGTATTTTCTTTTTAGGTAGCGGCTTCCTGCTGGTTGCGGGCCCTGGTCTGAAGGTTGCCGTGCTAACGCCCGGGTACACATTCTCTCCCTGCCCCACCAAGCCGGCCACCGTCTGCCCGAATGGTGGCACAGCTATTGCTCAACTCTTACTCTGGGGATTTCCTCCAAGGAAGTGCATGTGATACACACGTACCAACAGCCAAAGGTGGCTCTGAGCCACACACGGTCATTTTCTGTCACGTGGCCCAGTCACAGAATTCTCGGCACCTGGCTCGGAAAGGTTCAGTATTTCCTTCTCCAGAACCTCCCCAGAGGACCTCTGTCTAAGTTTTGCTGCAGTTCATCACTTCATTAAGAATACAAGAATTAGTCAGTGTCTGCCCTTCTGTATGATAGGAAGGATGTTTGATGTTCTTGTAAGTCACGCTCTGTCATCAAATACAGGACCACTTACGGGCTGTGTTAACACGGGGTCATAGCTACATACTGCAGAGACTCATCGGGTGGTTAAATACAGCAGCTTCAGGGGTAGAGCTTAATTAATTCATGATTTCCTTGCCGTGTTAGTAAGTGGATTCTGTTGCAGCCATGTAACATTTTTGTGTCGCACACACTGTCACAGCCAAAAGGACCACAATTGGTTGGCCAAGGTACTCTTCATCAGAGGTCAAGTGTGCCGGCTTTCTAAATTGCAGTCTTGGCATCAGCTGTCTTCATTGTTGTGTGTTATCTTAATGGGAAAGGGATGTGAAAGCAAAACCTTCAGTTCAGAGTTTTGATTTACCATACCTAACAGCCATAACCACACTTAAGATTTCGCCTCTTCTAGTCATGGTTCTGATATAGTAAATAGTACTTATTTAAGGGTCTCGCCCACCAGGGGGTACATATAAATCTGTCTTTCTTAATGTATTTGGTTTGTTTCCTATGGTAGCTTGCAGAGGTTTCTCAGAAGCCAAAGCACTGGCATTCTGGTGGGATGGGGTGACTGGCAGACAGACATTTCTTGTGTGGAGTAAGTTGACAGACATTCTTGGGCTCGTTGCAAGGAACCTAGGCCAGAGTGTGGGTGGCACCCGGGGCCAGCACTGGCTCCTCCAGACAGTATCCACTGTCTTCCATTTCATTCACCAGCCTGGTTCTTCCAGACCCGCCCTATGGCACCCCCTTTCTCTGACTCATAAGCTCAGGGGGGTTCTTCAGAGCATCCCTCTCAGCCAGTGTGGTAAGGGGTATTAAAAAAAAAAAAAGCCTTCGGAAGCTGGCATGGGTCTGAGATGGGGCGCCAGTTCCATTCCCTGAAGAAAATTCTCACGCCAGGAGCAAAGTGAGCAAATAACTATGACGTGTGCGAGCCAGCTAATGCTGCACGGGCTTGCACACGCAAGATAGGACCCCAGCGCATACTAGGCCCATACATGGCACTGAGAGTCAAGAGTGGACACTAAACTCCGCCAGAGGGGCCTTTGGGAGACTTGGAAAGTTGGCTCGTCGTTTGACTTACACACAGACTTTTGTAACCTACTGGAAGTTTTCAGTTACCTCCTCCAAGAATGTGTGGGACGCTGGGTGGCCACCTCAGCCTGGACCAACGACAGAAGGAAACTGGGCATTCAGCCTGCTGCGCTTACTTTGAAGTGCTGCTTTGAAAGTTGATTTTTAAAATATGCTTCGTGTGTGTGTGTGTGTGTGTGTGTGTGTGTGTGTGTGTGTGTGTACATTCATGTGAGTAAAAACACCTTTAGAGGCTGATGCCAGAGGCCTCAGAACCCCCGAGAGGTGGGGGTACCGGCAGGTTGTAAGCCACCTGATGTGGGTGCGGGGAACCGAACTGGGGTCCTCTGAAAAAGCTGTAAACACTCTTAACCACAAAACCATCTTTCCCACCGTGATATTTTAATTAGCCATTTTTAAATGTACAAACTCAAAATAAGGGTTTGTCCACATCAGATTTGGAGTGTACTGCCAGGTCACCTGTAACACCCGTAAGCCTAGAATTTTAAGTGTGTGGTTTTCGCCAGTATTCAAAGCGCAGACACCTTCTGAAGCCTTCGGCCCACCTGGCATAAAAGCTGTCAGGAAGCGTGGTGGAGGAAGACAGGCAGAGAGGTGAATAGGGGCCAGGGAGGTACACAGATGGTGCAGGAGGAAATCTCCGAGGCAAGCCGGCAGACAAACACAGACAACGCGCCTATTTGTCTTTAAATTATATCCCTTTAACATCAATTACAAATATGATCTGACTAAAGGAGAGAAGGTCAGAAACTAAAGAGAAGCTCCTGACGTCATCAACCCCACTGCCCCTGAAGCACACAGGCCTCTCCTCTTCCCTCCTGCCTCCACACTCACTGTGTACAGATCGGAGTAGCAGTCTCCTGGCCTGGGAAACTGCTCACAGGGGCAGCTTTGAGGTGGGTAGCGGTGGTTGGCTGCGTTCATCACCTTAGTGTTCTGTTTCCAAGGGACACGCCGCCCCAAAGTGAACTCCATTCAGATGACCCCAGACAAGAGAGTTCTCAGAAAAGAAAATTAACAACTGACACTTTCCTGAAAGTTGTCGACCTCACAAACGGAGCTTCTAAGAAGAAAACCTGGAGGCTTTATTGAGCCCAGAGGTCAAACCCCGGAACCTTTTGAAGGCCGGAGCTGCCATGAGACTGTCTCATCCTCTTTCTCCTTCACACTCGTTCCTCAGATAGGCAAAGGCCCAGCCCTGACAGCCAGTGTTCTAGTCTCCATTCAAGGTAGCCGTCATGACTTCAAAAGCACCAGAACCCACTTTTGCCTGTCTTTCTCCGTACACTGGCATTTGAGTAGGCTCGGCAGAGGGAAGAGGCAGGCTGGCGCAACACTGTCAGTTACAACTTTGAAACTGATTTCCAGTCAGGCTATTCCTCAGTAGGCTCTTTGTCACACACAAGTTCAAAGCGTTTTTGTCAGTTTCTTTAATGCAAATGTGCCCGCTTTCATTTTACTGAGCTTTCTGTAGGGTGCTGTCTTTCCAGGTGTTTGTAAATTTCATTCTGTCCTGCTTTTTAATTTCATCCAATAAGCAGGATTATGCATATACCAAAACATACATTATTATATGTTCAGCTAAGAAACTAGTAAATTCCCCTAAATCTTTGAGGATCTCTTGTTAATAAGAGAAAATGGGGGTGGCATGATTTGATGTCTAGGGAAGAGGTCCTGTTATACAGAGAGCAGGGAAGTTTGGGGATGAAATAGAAAAAAAAAGTCATGTTTAATAATCAAGAATCTACATCTAAAGACAAAGCTATAAAGTGACTACTTGGAGAATCTAAAGGTTACCTAATGGTGATGATGTCATTCAAAGACAATATGACAAATGCATTAAATACTATATCCTGTGATAGTATCTACATATAAAAGTTATGTTATTCTTACTCACATTTACCAGTGTATGAAGCAAGAAACACTATTTTCCAAATTAGCTTCAAATTCTGAGGAAGTTTTTTTAAGAACAAAGGCTTGGGTAGGGGCTAGAAAGACAGCTTGGTGGCTGTCCACACTTCCTGCTCTCCCAGAGGACCCAAGGTGGTTCCAAGCACAAGCTGGGCAGCTCAGAACTCCCAGCACCCTCTTCTGGGCACTCTTCACAGACTTGCCTTTCGCATGAATGTCCCTGTAAATCCGCTCCGTTCTTGTCGGCGGCACACACCTGTGTATGCTCGATAAAGGAAAGAGGACATATTTATCACCTAGATACACTGAAAATATTACATACAACTATTGGTGCGACCAGAGACAAGTATCCATACGCGTGAGTTCTGATCGAATAGAATAATAAGGACATTTGTAGAGCCGACCCTCTTAGCAGGAACGGAAACCTGGTGTGTACCAGGACCAGTTGATATTTGTATAAGGGATTTCATCAGTTTTTCCTTCTTTGTGTTCGGCTATTTCACAGATGAACTTTTGTTTATTACTTATGCCAAGGTAAACCAAAGCATTGCAAAGAACAAATACTTTTGATAAAACTTTATCTTTAGGCTTGATATTTAGTCTAGCCCACATAGCCCAACCCCCCTCACCTCAAGAGGCTGGGATTGGAAAGGGACCTCACTGGACTGGGGATTTATCTCCGTGGAGGAGTGTCGCCTAGCAAGTGGGAGGCTCTGGGTCATAATCCAGTAATGCAGAAGTGGGGCAGGGCCCTTGGCATGAACCCCAGCAGCCACAGCTTGGACTGAGCCGGTTAGCCTTACTTGAGCTTTATCTGTGCTTTGGGGTTTATTCTGAATATTTTAACTGCTCAATTAGATTGTTATTCCATTTCTCTTTACTGTGACATTTAAACACATCCTACATTTGAATCTGGTTGCTGTTATGTGTTGGAAGCAATATTATGCTTGATAAGCCTACATCTTTGAGTTATAAGTTAATAATTAACCTGTCTAATTAAATCAGATGTTTATAGTTCATAAACAAGTTTCAAAGAATAAATTTTCTTACTAAACTTCTGATCACTGGGGCAAGTATCAGTCTGATAGTCCTATGAACATATATCAGGGAAACATGAAGCAAAATCATGTAAGGGTTGAGGTTTAAACAGGCTGCCTGCCCACACATGCCGTCATCATGTCATAGGGAGCGCTGTGCGCTTGACTCATCGCTCTTTGCCGCAGCCGCACAGAAAAATTGCTAAGTGCAAAAATTCAGCATGAAGGGTAGAGATATCCCAACATCAATGATTGTATCAGAATCATGAGAAGTTGAAGGTTCATTCTGCAAAGTATCTGTTTGCAAAGAATAAGACTTAAACTCTTTCTTTTTCCTGCAGAAGATCTAAATTGTGCTTGTCTTTTTCTTTAACAGATAATTCTGAAATAATCAACAGAAATGGAATGGAATGCCAAGAATCTGCATTGAGAGTAACTAAGCATTGTTACTGTACATACTATCCTGTTTCCTCCTCGATAGAATTGCCACAAACTGCATGCTAAATTTAGTTCTTCTGGACAGACCACAACCCTAAGGCTAGTTCTGCTATGTCATATAGGAATATTAAATATGGTATGCTTAGTATATTCCAGCCTAAGATAGTTAACTACCTGAGACCAGCCACGATGCTCAAGGGCATAAGGATGAGATTTTCTTTTACAGGGTTCTAAGCATAGTTTCTGTCCTAGGAATATTGTCTTATCTCCCTAACTATAGCTGATGCAGAAAGTCCAGCCAATATACTCATTTCGACTCAGAATATTTCAAATTTAGCAATAAACAGTTAGCATTAGTTTAAGTACCTATTCCAAGGGCAGGTTTGATTCTAGCTCCAGTCACCACCATTTCATTTCCTGACTGGATCAAAGGGTATGATTCACTTCTTGGCGAGATGAACGCTGCAACAAAGACAGGAAGTGAAGTAAAACGTAGACCTGCCTTGCAGGTCTAAAATTTGAATGGCAGTTCAAGCACAATTGCTGGGGACACATCAGGGTGTGGGATTCGGTTTGCCTGGAGATGCCGCACTGAATCATGGGATTCTAGAATAACATTGTGTAGATTGAAAAAAAAAAAAAAAAAAAAAAAAACACTTTGCACGGTATGAGCTTCATACCCACCCAACAAAGTCTTGAAGGTATTATTTTACAAGTATATTTTTAAAGTTCTTTTATAAGAGAGACTTTGTAGAAGTGCCTAGATTTTGCCAGACTTCATCCAGCTTGACAAGAATGAAAGGCTCATGCCAGGAGTCGACCCTAAGGGATCGGTCTTTCAAACTCACCCTCCAGTGGCCTGTTGCCGAGTAACTCTACACTAAAACCTAGTCAAACAGGGGAGCTGTAGGTGAGGAGGTCTGTATAATATTCCAGTTTAAGTACGTCTGAGTTTAGTCACTACAGATGCAAACTGTGACTTTAATCTAAATTACTATGTAAACAAAAAGTCGATAGTTTCACTTTTTAACAATCCATTACTGTTTCTGCATTTCAAAAGTTGGATTAAAGGGTTGCAACTAACTACAGCATGGAAAAATCGTTCTTTTAATTCCTTCACCTTAAAGCATATTTTATGTCTCAAAAGTAAAAAAAATAAAAAAAAACTTTAATACAAGTACATACATATTATATATACACATACACATGTATACTCTATATGGATGAAACATATTTTACTGTTGTTTACTTTTTTAAATACTTGGTTGATCTTCAAGGTAATAGCGATACAATTAAATTTTGTTCAGAAGGTTTGTTTTAAAGTTTATTTTCAGCACTATCGTACCAAATATTTCATATTTCACATTTTCTATGTTGCACATAGCCTACACAGTACCTACATAGTTTTTAAATTATTGTTTAAGAAATGAAACAGCTGTTTTAAATGGATATTATGTGTAATTGTTTAAAACATCCATTTTCTTTGTGAACATTTTAGTGATTGAAGTATTTTGACTTTTGAGATTGAATGTAAAATATTTTAAATTTCGGTATCATTGCCTGTTCTGAAAACTAGAGGCATCAACCATATCATTTTTTTTTTATTGAGAAAAAGATCTGCATTTAATTCATGTTGGTCGAAGTCTAATTACTATCTATTTATCTTACATCATAGATCTGATAACTGTATCAAAAGAAAAATCACATTCTGAGTGTAATCTTGCGTAGTGCTTGTATCGTGTTTGTTTTAATTTGTGAAAAGGTATTGTATCTAACTTGTATCACCTCGATAGCTCTCATCTTTATGTATCACTGATATTTGTAATTTTCTCAGCTATAACAATGTAGTTACGCTACAACTTGCCTAAAACACTCATACTTATTTTTTTTTCTTTGCTTATTCATTTAAACTCATTGAGAAGATAGTAGACATTACTAGAAGGTAAATTATGGGAGTCACTGAGATATTTTTGTAGACTAATTATTGTAACTGTCTTCTTTCCTTTCATTTCATGTTTTTTATTTTAAAATTATTAGCACATAGCTATTTTCAGCCCTTAATAATGAAGCATAAAAACATCACCTATATCCCCAGCAAATATAGATGACTGTATTTTTTACTATGATATCCATTTTCCAGAATTGTGATTATAATATGCAGAGTCAAATATACCATTTACAATGAGGAGGAGGCAAGGCAAATGCATAGATGTACAAATATATGTACAACAGATTTTGCTTTTTATTTATTTATAATGTAATTTTATAGAATAATTCTGGGATTTGAGAGGATCTAAAACTATTTTTCTGTATAAATATTATTTGCCAAAAGTTTGTTTATATTCAGAAGTCTGACTATGATGAATAAATCTTAAATGCTTTGTTTAATTACAAAAACAAAATCACCAATATCCAAGACAGGAAGATATCAATTCAACAGCTACTGTAGTTCGGAGAACTAACTCCACTTGCTCGGGAACTCCATTTCACTCTTGGTTTTCAGGATATAACTGCACTTCACAGAAATATTCTTTCAGCCATATAGCACTGGTCACATTTCTACTAAATCTTTCTGTAACACTCTTAAAGAATTCCCTCATTCGTTATCTGACCGCGTAAACAGGAGTCTAATTTGTATCAATTCTATGTTTTGGTTGTAATATTCAGTTCACTCACCCGATGTACAACCAATGAAATAAAAGAAGCATTTAAAAGGATTGCGTGGTCTCCCTTTGTGTCTGGCCAATAGTTAGTTGGACAGGAATGTTTTCATCTTGGTGTAGATGCCGGTCAGTGACTCCTAAGAACAGTGTTCTTCACCCGGGAGGGGGCAGAGGCTGATATTGCTTTGGGTTTTGGCTTTTCCTTCAGTTGGGGAGGGGTTGGCACATGCCTGTGTGCACACAGGGAGGCAGGAGGACAGTTTAGGGAGGGGACTGTCTCCCGCCATGTGGGTCTCACGTCATCAGGCTTGGCAGCGAGCACGTGAGCCCACTGACCCAGCTTCCCAGCCCAAGGCGTTGGCTTCCCCTGCAAGAGAAATCATTTAAAATAATCGCTTGGAAAATTATTTTTAAATTATTATTAAACACTTTCAGCATCCTTAGTTTAGCCATAGAACGTCCCTCCATCCAGCCCTTTTGCTTGCGATTTTGACTAGCAATGAAGACACATGAATATCAGCAAATGAGCAAATGGGGGCCAGCTGTAAGAACGTGAGTTTCGTCAAAGGGAAGTGGCTGCTCGCCTGTACTGCAGACGTCTAGAAGGAGCCTAGGAGGGCAGTGTGGCTTGTAGCTGCTGAGGGAGACAGAAAGGTGAATCTGTTGTATGCAAAAGACCTATAGGCCATGAGCAGAGCAGTACCCTGGGTTGAAAGGGAATTGGTGGCTCCTGTGTCCATATTCTGGCAAGAGTGTGCTCCTAAGACCGGGTCTCATGAGCTGGGGAGATGTCTCAGCAGTTAAGAGCACTGGCTGCTCTTCCGGAAGACAAGGGTTCAAGTCCCGGAACCCGCTTGGGAGCTCACAACCGTCTGTAAATTAATTCAGTTCCGGGGAATCTGGCGCCCCCTTCTGGCCACCACAGGCACTGCATGCCTTTGGTGCACAGACAAACATGGAGGTTTATCACACATACAATAAATAATAAAAATAAATATTAAAATTTTTAAAAACCTTCAACTCAAACCCAAAAGGATATAACAGCCTACTTTATCTCTTTAGCATAAAATTATTTAGGTATAAGATATCAAGTGGCTTATATAGTTCTCTGTTAAAAAAAATATTATTTTAGATTAGGACTGTCTAATCGAAAAATGATATTTTAGACCCAGAAATGCATTCTTTGTCCTTAACCAAAGTTTGTTGGGTTTGTTGTTTTTGTTTTTGTTTTGCAACACTACAGAAATTAGGGCAGCCAGGCAAACTGAAGTGATATTCAATAGTCTGACGCCCCTTAAGCTTCGGAAGTATTCGACGGGCTGGCTCTGTAAAGAGTTATTTCCCCACTTCAAGTAGCCAAACTGAGAAGTTGAGCAGCTGTTGCTGTTGGACCCTTCTCTCGTCATGAAAACAACTGAGTCATTGTGAACAAATATGATTCACAGAGAGTGAACTGATAACGACTTCCCTGTGCTGCTTGGTGCAGGGGTGGCGGGGTGAGGGGCAGGGCAGGGGAGCCAGGCTCCAAGTTCAATAGTCTGTAGATGTCCGTCGGGTCCCCGCTGTGTCGGTGAAGACAACTGCTAAGAACTGACAGGTGATTCCAACTGCTGCCGAGGCTCCTGGCTCAGAGCACAGCAAACGCACACGGCTGCCCGCCGTTTCTCGGTGCCCACCCTTGCAGGCCAGGCCATCATTGCTCTGCCCAGCCAGCACACATCTTCAATTTCTTCTCCTGCTTCAGTTCCTTTAAAAGCTGGCTGTCTGCCAACTGTGGGTGTCTTCCTGGCACATGCCGTGTGACTTTCGTATGTGCTGGTTGGCTTGATTTTAATAAGGGCATTTCTGATACACCCTCACATTGGGTTGTTTTTATGAAATAGGGTAGCAACAGTGACTGTTTGGTTCACATACATTTTACAGTCTCCAGCTCAACAAAGGTTCCCTTATACTCACATGTAGAGGAAAAATAAAGACTCATAAAAACTAGGCAACCCTTTTATGGTTCAGACCTTTAAGCCTTAGCTCATCCGAACTCCACAGCTATATTGCAACGAACTTACTCTGAGCCATTCTTCAAGCTCAATTTTCATTAAAAGTTCTGGGTACAGTGTCTGTGTAGGTTTAAAGTGAAATGTTAATTGTTTTAATTTTTTTACTTCAAGTGAATGGTTTTCCCCCATCCCAGTAATACAATGTAAGAAATACTTTGTAGTTGCAAACTACAAAGAACTATGAGAGATTTAGGACAGAGCTTAGCTGTTTATTAGGACCAGAGGCGCCCTCTCTGCAGGGTGTCCCAGTTTTGTTTAGCCTGTGTCAAGTTCCATATGGTTCTCCTAAAAAAAGACAGAAGGAAAGCCATTGAATTCTGCCCAATAATGATGTTTTATGAAGTCACGGAGCAGCCAGACCCATAGTCCCTGAGAAGAGATAATTTGAAAGTCTGGGGGAAATGATGAGAGAGAATAAAATTCTGCATAAAGGTCACAAAAGGTCACACATGGAAGGCATTCCACTAAAACCCAGTTGTGTCCAGAGAAGCTGAGAAGTTAGGCATTGCTCGTTTGCCTCTGTCGCCCATCTTTCCTGTGGGTCTTCCTGGGCCGTTGGCTTATATAAGCAAAAAAAAAAAAAAAAAATACTCAAATTGGTTCTTACATGCACACTAAAACAATGGAAATGAGGTCAGTCTTTTTCTTTTGCTAGAAAATCTTTTGTTCAAAGGAAAGCTCTCACGGGCACACAAGCCAAGTGCTGGGGTTGCTAGGAGTTTCCCTCCCCTGGCCTCCACTGAGTTCTCAGGTTAAGGGATGGAAACTCGTGCATTGAGATATAAAATACACGGACTTACAGGGGAGAAAATGTATCATGGTGACCTGACAGTTCAAAGGACAGACACTCGCCCCAGAGCTCCAGCTGTGTCTGGATAGATTGATGAGGTTCTTGCCAATGTACCAACCGAAGCCCAGAATGAATGCGTAAGTATGGCCTATTTATATGGAGTGTGACCCAAACTTTGATCATCCTAGAAGACAAACTTTCGTTTTGGATCTACAGAGAGGAAAGATCAGCGTCTGCATGTCATGATAGGTTAGTGCCTAAGAGCTGAATTTCTGCCCAAGTTTAGCCCTTAAGTCTGTGTTTGCACAACTTCTAAGCATCAGGTTTCTTCCTCCATAATCTGAACCTCACAACTGAGTCTATTTGACTGAGACACAACGAGAGGCTGTAACCAGCCTTGAGGAGCAGGCCTTGACACAGAACAAGTGCTTGCTGGCCATCAGTTACTCCTCCTTAAACAGTACTCAGATGAGTGCTTGGGTTCCACGGGAATGACTTGTCTCCTTGTTCTATCCAAACATTTGTTGACAATGAAGATGCACCCCTGCTCTTTCCTCATGAGGCTATGAATCCTCCTGCATAGCTCAGCGTCTAGTGGAGGCCTTGGCATTCTGGGCTTGTAGCTATACCACTCCAGCCTCTGCCTCCCGGCACCAAATGATGCTCTTCCTGTCTGTATCACCTAAGGACACCAACCATATGGAATGAAGGCCCACAATAATAACCTCGTATTATCTTGGTAATATCTGCAAGACTATGTGCAAACATAGACATGTTCACAGGAGCGAAGAATTCCAGTTGCATTTTGGGAGAATATGTCTTGAGAATACATTAGGTAAATGGGGAGGTTGTTTTAACTGTAAAATGTTCCCAAAGGCTCTTGTTTTAAACACTCAGTTTTTATTATCCGGTTAGCAGTGTGCCTTGAGGTGAGGACCAGATGAAGGAAGTGGGTCACGAGGTCCTGATGTCTCTTAGCCAGCTCCACTGCCCATAGAGCGTCTGCTTCCTGACTGCAGGTCAACTGTGGCCATCTGCCTCACACTCTGTCCCCATGCCTTCTCTCACAGTGTCCCCTTAAACTGTAAGCAGAAATAAACCCTCAAGCTGCCAGGCGCTGGATCACAGTATAGAGGAAAGTGAACAGCGCAGCAGCAGGAGAGGGAAAACAAGACCTTCTAAAACCGGGGAGGAGAAGCGTGCTGCCCCCCGAGGGCTGCCATGAGGAGACGCCTCAGAGAAGTTGGTTTCTGATGAGAGTGTATTCTCTAACAACTCTGAAGGTGTCTGCAGCGCTACGCTCCTTTCTAGACTCTAGCCAGAATCCTTCGGCTCTTGCAGCTTCTGATGGCCGCCACCAACCCTGGCCACCCTCAGTGTACAGAGCCAGGACTCCAGTCTCTGCCACTGTTGTCACCTGGCCTTGGCCTTGTGAGTCGCCAGCTTCACACCATCTTTTGATGACACCAGTCATGTCTGTAAAGGTCCATCCCCATGATGCCTCATTAACTTGATAGCACACACAGGGACTCTATTTCCCATTGCTGGGGTTAAAAGTTACACAAGGAAATTTGGGGAGCACATTTTGATCTATAACAGGTAACACGGGATCTTGGATAAAAACAGTTTTCCCTAACCACCAAAGTATCACAGCTTTGAGAAAAGGCAAGTGTGCCCACGGGCCGCGTGTGTTCCAGCAGAGCTAGAGTGTCATCCGACACGTTGGGAGCTAGTAACAGCGTGTCACAAAAGGCTGGCTTCCTGGGACGCCTGTCTGTGAGGAGACACACGTCCAACGGGACGGCCCGGCGCAGTGCTGGGATGGCCTTCGGGCTGCTCACCTTTGTGCTCTCCCTTTGTCTGTATGGAAAAGCGACCGCACTGCAGGGCCTGGGTCGCCTCTTCTGTAGGCGAGTTTCTGGCCACTCAGCATTGAGCGCATTCTTAAAGGGTTCAACAGTCATTTCACCCGGCACATTTCAGTCTTTATAAATTTTCTCTGACTAGGCTTGCTTTATTTAGTCTGTGTCATAGGGAAGGGCCTTCTCCCTTTTAATTCACATGGTAAATTCCAGGAATCATTCACAAGTTGTCTTGGGCCTTGACTTAGAAAGTCAAGTTGTCTGTATGCTTCCAACGAGAACAGATATTACCCTTTTGTGGCCTTCTTCTGGGATAGCTTCTTAACTCGAAGTGCCTCATTTACTCGT